TCCAAAACGGCAACTTTGAGCTGATTTTTGAATGTTATCCATTTGGAATCTTGGAAAAGTGTTTTCTAAGAACTTTTAGTACCTTGGAATTAGTTTTTAATGGTACTAAGTTTTCCAATTTTAGACATACGAAGAGTGAGATTCGTTTTTTCAAAAATTGAACCTCAAATCGGAAATTTTCAAACTTGACGGGAATTGAGTTTTTGAAACTCTTCCCTATCCTTCAATACTAATTGACCATTTTGGACTTGTCTTCATAAAAGAAATCAGTTTTTCCTTGTGTTAATAAACACTAGTTTTAAACCTTGAATTTTGAGCAAGTAAAGCCCCATTCCATGATATTTTCTAGATTGTACAAGTGTACAATCCCTCTCTTGATAAGAAAGGATTTTCAAGTGATAGTGTGTAATAGATAACTATTGTTTGCACAGGTGCTCAAGGAGACCTTCACGAGGATCTCGAGGGGAATACCTAAAGGCTTGTTTACGCACTCACTCTCTTTTTTCAATTGGTGAGTGTCAAGTGCATGAATTTGTTGCTAAGTGATTAACTGTTTCTTATCCATTATGTGAATTTGAAATTTTGAAATGAGTGTGTACTTTACCGCACTCGTTCTCTTTCGAACGAAATTATATTCATATATTTGCTATGTGAATTCGTATCCGACTTGTACATAGTAATGTGAATGTGATTCATATTTGTGATTCGTATATGTGATTCATATTTGGAATCATCGATTCGAACGTTACTCATCGACTTATATTCATATTTGTATTCGTATTTGTATTCATATTCATATTAGTATTCGGGGGACGCCAAAACTTGTTGGTTAACTTTACGAATCGAGCCAGCATGGGCTTGGTCGATAAGCTTAGCAAACCATGAGATATTCGTAGAGCATGTTCTATTGGAGAGATCTTACTCGGCATTACTCGCGCAGTATTGCCATGATATATTCGAGTATTAAGTACACTGCTATGTGGTTTCAAACACTTTAGTCAAAAGAACGTTGTGCACCACCGTCACGCCCTAAAAACATGCAAACAAATACAATGAGACTCGATAACGAGTCATAAACCAAGGCCAAAATGACCCCAATAAGGTTCCATAAACATTTACAAACAATAGAGGAAACCAGAAATTAAGAAAGGGCTTTAACTAAGGCCTTGATATGAAAACCGGATTTGACCTCATAATGCGGTAATGGCACAACTCTCACTACAATTATCGGATGGGGGTGTAAGACCCACCATTTCGAAGCCAAGAAACAGAACTACAACAATGTAGAAGGTCACTCAATCCAGTTCCTAACACAACTAGGTCAAATATACGAAATACTATACCAGAATTCCCAAAACAGGTTTGCAAAACGCAGAAAACTGTAATCGGTATATCTCAGTCCATACAAGTCCAAATGCCGAAATTCCAAAGGCATATGTTAGCTAAGACATTCAGCTACATTTCATCAGAAGACACCAACTTCAAAATCCAAACCAATTCCAGTCAAAATAGCCAAATACAAACTCAGTTTTCGCATTCTGATCAAAGCAGAACAGCTACAGTAATGTCGTCATAACTCACTCTACACTCATCCAAATGCCCTGAAATTTTGTAGGAACCTCCTACTCATCAATACCTACAACTTTCATGTTTTGAGCAAAGTCCAATTCGGCCTATAACCCTATGATCCAAAACCGGACAGAATTGGGAAAAATATGAACCCTAACTTTTCATTTTCCATCCAAATCCAAAATTGATTACATTTTCTTATCCAATACACCTCATAGAGCCATTAACAGCCATTACCATTCATCATACAAGGCCACAACATCCCATTCATATTAAACCAGAAAAATTCCCAATAAAATAAAAAATTCACCAAAACTCTTCAAATCAAGAAATAAATCACATATTCCTTCACTCATGCCACCATTAAGCATAATATAACCATCATTAGGTTTAGGGGAGAGGTTGTAGCATCACTTACCAAGAAACAAGGGAAAGAGAGATTGTGGACACCTTTGCTCTTCAAAACAACTTCACTACAACCCTTACTAGCACTAGAAGATAGGATTTTATGGAGTGAAATCTAGTCTAAGCTTTTGTTTATGGAAGATTGAAGCTTATGGAAGCTTGAAAGTTGGTGGAATTTCCTTCTTCTTGCAAGGAGAGAGCCGGCCACAAGAAGAAAAAATGGTGAATTTTGGGCATTTTTTTGATATTTAATCCTTTGGTCAAAAAAAGTCAAGAAAGTGAATAGTATTCTTAAAGTCCAACCCAATCCTATTGTGACACTTGTCACACTCATTAAATGCATTCTTATCTTTCTTTTCTCTCTCACATCAATCAAATCACCTCCTCTATTTATCTCTTAACACCCGATAAATTTAACACAGTATCCGAAACTTAACCTTATTGGCCGAATTTTTCCGAACTTTTCGCACTAGTGGGTCTCACGTCCACTATTTACTCTTAATTTTTCAAAAACTCTCCAATACTAGAAAAACCATCTAAAAACTATAACTGCTCATAAAATCCACCAAGAAAATATTTCCAAGCCAGAAAATGCAGAAAACATGCCATTAAAGGGGGAAAACCCTAGGGAAAAAATATGAGGGAAATACGGGTTCTCACACTCTCTCCCCCTTAAAGAAATTTCGCCCTCGAAATTTTCTCACCAACACCGTTTATATCTTAATCAAGAGTGATCAGGCTTAACAATACTCGAATAGACCACGCGAAGTTCCATGGAATCACATTTCTAGTTCGCCCAAGTCCTTTTTAACCTAGGCTCTCATCTCTTCCGTATCCGGGCACAAGAATCCCATCTAAGATAATTCACAACTCGAGCCGGCCGGTCCCAAGAGTAAACCATCCTTAGTAAAGATTCCTACCCGACATACATACCTAGTTTCCTCGAGTCCCATGATAATGATTCGCACACTTATCACATGCCCGGTTCATAACTTACGCTCAAACGAGCACTTAGACATATTCATGAAATTAGGACCACAACACCACTTGGCCCAGTCTCACTCCGCGCAGAGACCACGCGAAGTGGCTCTGATACCACCTGTGACAGTTCTCAGGGTCACATCACGGGGTACCTATCAGCTTGCCACCCGCACGCGGGCATCCCCTACGGAGAGTTTTGCTTCGTGACTCTTCACGAACGAGAGGCTCGGGGCTTTTCCAGACGAAGGACGTAAAGTCCCAACTGTCGGCATATGGCTCTGATACCACCTGTGACAGCCCCACTTTCCCCTAAGGTGAACCAAAGAGGTTAGCGGACTGCCTGCCCAGCTCTCGCCAGGACTAACGGTGCCGTATAGAGCGATCTTTCACGTTCCGGAACTTATAACGCGCGCAAATAAGGCAAAAGGGCAAAATAACCCAAAAGAAAAGAAAATGAAACCCGGAGTCGGCCATGAATAGTAACCGACTCGTCCGAACCCAACCAAACATCGAATTACATATACCCATAACATTTAGCCTTTACAAACCAACATGACATTTAAAAGTGATACAAAAGTCATTACATATATGGTTTGCCAAAACAAAAGTGAAAACGGCCCTAATGATACATTTAGGGTCCCATTTTATATACAATACAAAAGAGTCATTCATCTAGTTCATTTGGCAACCATTTATCAAAATTCATTCCAAAAGAGTCATATTCCTGTAAGGAAAACAAAAGGAACGGGGTTATATTTCTTTGTCCATTTTAGGTTAATCAAAACAAGGATTAATTTTTTTCCTTCTTTTTTACCAAATTACTAAATATTGAATTTGGCAGTGGACTAGGCTCATCATTTACTAAGTAAGATACCTATTTGGCTATTGTCGAAGACAACAAATCTTGTCCCCATTTTTTTCGCAAGAAGATAAGGCCTAAAAAGTGCAATAGTCGGATAAAACATAAAAGATCAGATGTGCAGGGGGCAGATGAAATGACTGCTATAACCACGCTTGATTGGAAAACCTAATCCACAAGCATGCACCGCTCAAAATCCATTCACCAAACACAAAAAAGATCAAAATAGCCACTCAAATAGACTGTCACTTTCTGTGAGAAAGAAGTCAGTCTCCAGAAATGATGGGAGAAATGAGTGGAACAGCATTCCAGCGCCAAACATATCTTGGTGCAGATCACAGTAGCATTGCCACCATTGCGAGCACCTGTCGATGCAGAACACAAAAAAAAAAGAAAAACTAGAAGCTCTCACAGCATCAATAGATTCTTAGGATTCCTATGGTTTGAAAGCTTCAGTAAACCAAGTCACTCAGAACCCTTGTCCGGTTTAAAGGGTACTAGGAAGGCAAGATTCAGGAGGAATAGAAAAGTAATTCTGACTGGGACAAAAACCAAAAATCTAGAAATGGAGGTAACGGTACCTCACAGGACAGTCTCAGAAGGAAAAGAAAAACTTTTTTGCACTTGAAGCTTGGACAACCTTAAGTTCCCATTCTCCAAGTTTGAAATCACTAGTTATTTGGATATATAATACTCTGATTCTTACTATCATGGTAAGGCTTCTATATTTAAGCAGAGACACTTCAGACAGAACTACGTACGTCAAGATCCAGTCTCAGAAGGCTCACAAATTCCACTCTAAAAAGCAAGTTGAAGAAAAATAGCAACAAATAACATTTCTGTAACGAAGCCTCAAGTTTCAGTTTTTTACAAAATAGCATCTCTGTAAACAAGCTTCAGTTTTGGAAACCAGTGAGAAAGAAACCAAAAAACAAAATCAAACAGTAACTTGACCCCTGATGTTTAAGACACTATAATCTGTCTTCCCAGTATAAAGCACCTGCAACAGCATTCGTCATACAAAAACATAAAATCTATACCATATTACAATTTACCAAAAAAAAAAAAAAGACGCCTACTAGAACATTTGGTAAAAGAAGCAGAATCATGCATTTCATTGAAAGCCTGATGCACGTAGCATCTTAAAAAATCTAAAAAAATGAATGAAAAATGTACAAGAGGAAGATGTTGAGCAACGTGAAAGGAGAATTACAAATGAATTAACATCGGATTCAGATCTAAAGGTACATAGTCCTCAAATAGAGCTAAAACTTTTGATAAGAACCATCCATCAAAGTTAGAGATACTGACCTGCTTCTCAATATATTTTTGAAAAAGAAAATTATTGGAAACAAAGTACTACATAATTTTGAAAAGCAGTCAACAAAAGCGAAATACTCGGCTAGGAAAATACATGTTTAAATCTGGTCTTTAAGCAAACAATAACTTTTGCAACGTTATAAAGACTTCATTTGCAAGAGAGCCTGGAACTTCAGAAGAATCACCAGTCCAAAATAAAAGATTGGTGCATTTATGAAGGAATCTGCACAATGAATATTAGTGTGTGAAAACCCCGCTTTGAAGGGAAAAAACCAATTTTTAGAGAAAAGACAAGATAACTGCTCATAGCTCAAACCAATACCTTGCAAAACATAATGTTGAAAAGAACAATAATTAATATTTTGCTTTCATTAATTCCAGAAGTTACCTTTTGAAATTTCACCTCAAATATAAACAAATAGTGGAACAGGAAAGGTTGTATGTGAACATGAAAATTGTGCTTGTAAATGCAAAGGAATGCACCCTCTATGATAATACAGGACAAGATTTCACAAGTTCCATTCCCTTAAAATGATGGTTTGGAAATATTTTAAGTACATCACAGGTTATAGGGACAGAGTGTCGAATTTGCTGTCTCATTAATGAATATGCATATGGAGGAGAAAAAATTGACACTGAATAAGTTTGAAAGTAAAAGCAAATCCAAATAATTGGCATCAAGAGCAGTCAAATACACTTATTTTGCACTTGCAAATAACAATCAGAAACCACTAAAGCAATTCCACTGCTTCTAAACCATAATTATCTCGATAACCAATATGTTTACCTTACAACATGCAAAACAACATGATACAGTGTACCTGGTAAATGTCATTGAGGACCTCCAAAAAGAGATGTCATGTAAGAAAACCAAACCAGTGACATAATGGTAAAAACAATAAACATCAAAAGCCAACAGAGAGAGTAAATGCTACACATGGCACTCCAAATCAACAAATGGCTGAAACCAAACCAGCGACATAATGGTAAAAACAATAAACATCAAAAGCCAACAGAGAGAGTAAATGCTACACATGGCACTCCAAATCAACAAATGGCTTATAAATCCAACCCTCCTCCCCCCCCCAAACAAAAAAAAACCCCAAACTTAGACCCAAATTAACTATTTACATTTTTAATCAATAACCCATTAGTAAAACAGTTACACCAACCAATATGAATTGACATGTTGAAAGCAGACCTAGGCCTCAGTTGATCTAGACAATGCTAAATGCATTACAACTGGCTGTGGTAACACCAATATCAGAATTCTGCACTGCTAGACTTTTTGTTAAAACTCTTGTGCACTTTGATTGTATGCCTTAATCTTCAAGAAAAATTATATTGGCCATATTTTTGCCACGAGGTAGAGATCAATTCAAAATCATTTATTATTTAATAAAATCTTAGATTGAGTTAAAACCTTATTGCCCTACCAAAATCATGCTTCTAGCGTTTCTTGTCCTATTAACAGTTCTGCTATTAAGGTCCAATTTCAACAAGTAAAAAAGAGAAGACAATGGTCTTCAAGGCCCAGTTTTGTCCTCTGAACTCACAAAGTTACATACATCAACCTACATATTCATATGGATAAAAAGGTCAATGCTAAAAACTGCAGAAAAAAATTTGCTACAGAACATGCTTCTCAATCCCCAAAAGTGCAAGTACAAGGTGACTGTGATGAACTCAATGGTTCCCTAACCTGTCAAAGACCCCTTTTCTGATCCAGGAAGAATCAAATGAAGGGACCACAAAAAAATGAAGGTGCTATAACATTCCAAATTCAAGAAAAAGTTAGGGAAAAGACAAGTCCTCATAATAAAAGTAATAATCATTCTTAGACACCCAAAAAAAAGAACCATGAGAACAAGAAATTTCTAATTTCTTTTCTATCCAAATCCCAAAAAAAGAGGATAATCAAAGGCCTTTTCCTCTCCAAAATCTCAAGCAAGCAAGAAAAGCTCTCTTTTACTTTTTCTCTTGTTTACTGTCCTTTCTTCACTTCAGCATAAAAGCATAGCATCCTAATCATCTTAAATTACAAGTTCCAATCAGATACAAATACCTCCACAATAAATGCATAACTTCTCTACAAGCTGGACATAAACAGACAAGATTCCAACTAAAACAGGCAACTTATGTATATCTACTCTCACTTGATTTTATGAACGTATTCCATTTTGTTCCAAGCAATTTCTTTTTCAGCATATTAAGATTAAAAATCTAGAAATATATTTATCTAACCACAAATAGAAGCATTACAAAGCACGAGATCAGTTAAACAAGACATACCTTCCAACTGACCTAGTGTCCATGTCCCATATAAGGTGCACCACCTTGTGGTGGCCGAACGCCCTGCGACCCCATCTGTGGGTTCTGATACCCTCCCTGCATACCAGGCGGAGTCCCGTAGCCACCAACACCCTGTCCTCCATACCCAGCATTATTCATAACAGGCGGCACACCTTGGTTCACTGGCGCCCCAAGTCCTCCAAGCAAATTCCCAATACCCAAACCAGCACCCTGAGTGGCCAGCAAGGCTGTTAGCGCCTGCCCAAGAGCCGGGTTCAATGCAGACGCAGCCCCGGCAACAGCAGGATTAAAACCCACAGCTGGGCCAGAAGTAGGAGCCATCAAATGTCCAGCAGACCCTGCACCACCGCTACTACTCGAATACTTCCCTTTCTTTGAAGGATGCCCATAATACTGCTGCTGATGGTGCTGACCACCAGCATAATGCTGCTGATGCTGCTGCTGTTGCTGCTGAGGAAACTGTTTGCTTGGCTTAGGCCCATCAATCGCCTTCTGACAATGCAAGGTATGCCCTTCAAAATTCTTATGTGGCTCCTCTAACGCCTTCCTCGCACCCTCAACAGTCTTATACACAAACAAACAAAACCCTTTTGGCTTCCCAGTCTGCTTATCCAACCCCAAAGGCCCATCCTCAATCTCCCCAAACTTCGTAAAGAAATCCAACAACTTCTGCGGATCAAGCTCTGCTGCCACATTACTCACAAATATCTTCCTCAGAGTATACTCAGACACCGGAGGTGGCGCAGTAGGAGGTGGGGCAGGGACAGGGCCAGTAGAAGCTAGCTGGCAAGAAGTCATCCTATTCCCAATCTTCTTCTGTGGCTCAAGCAATGCTTTTCGCGCCCCACTCCTCCTCTTAAACAGTATAAAACCGTAACCTTTCGACTTCCCTGAAACCTTATCCGTAACCGCCTTGCAATCCTCAATCTCCCCATACTTCCCAAACACACTAGTTAGGGTTTCCGCAGTAGTATCCCATCCAAGACCGTGAACAAAGATCTTCCGGTGAGCTGGGTCTGCATCCGCTAGCTTTCTAACACTCGCCATCAAATCAGGGTGCTTGGAAACCGCTTCTTTTATCAAAACCACCATCTGGTCCTTCGAAAACGGCTCCAGCAGTTTCTCGAACGGCTCGTCATCCAAATCCTCATCCTTACTGTTCAGTTGCTCTTCAGCTCCGCCATTGGATTGTTTAATTTCGGTAGTCTCCGTCTTAATTAGGGTTTCCTCTTCTTGTTGTTCCTCAACTCCATCATCTTCCTCCTCCTCCTCCTCCTCTACTTCTTCTTCGACTTCTTCCTCAACTTCTTCCTCGACTTCTTCTTCTTGATCTGCCTCCATTTCTTCTTGTTTGACCTGAACTGGCTCATTCTCGGGTTGGGGCTCAGGTTCTGGCTCAGGCTGGGGTTCCGGTTCCGGTTCCGGTTCTGGTTCTGGTTCGGGTTTGACTTGTACGGGTTCTGGCTGGGGTTGGGTGGCTTCAGAGGTTCGAGACTTTCTCTTCTTCGCCATGGGGGAAGATCGAAGAGAGAACAAAAGAGCTAGGGTTTTTTCCGCGGCGGAGGCTAGGGTTTGGAGACGAAGAAATTGGGGGAAATGGATGATGAGGAATTTTCCAGAGGCTAATACTTATGTGGGCCTGATTATTAATAAGAAAATGAAATTCACGATGGTTTGGGTGGAAGCTGCTACACCGCTATTAACAAACTTTTGGGCCTAATAAAATGTTTTGGAGTCAGACCTTTCGGGAGGGCAAGAGCTTTGAGGAGATTCGTGGATTTAGGGTTGTGTTTGTATTACTTTGTCTTTGTGTGTAGATTTAATTGGGCATGCAATCCACGATTTGTACTACAGTATAGTTAGGGGCATTTATTGGCCGGTGATCAGTAGTTTGGTAAAAAAAAAAAATTTCGGGAATTCCGTAATTGGCGTATCAAGGCTAATATTTGATTACTGTCCAAATTTTAGTTTGATAAATTGGATATTGGTAATATTCTCTAACAACGTTATTGCACCAAAATAATATTTCATATGTTTTTTCCTACAAAATTCAATAAAAAAGAACACTAGAACATATCATCACATTAAATAAATAAAAAATAACAAGTCAACATTGCATCTTGCCTTTCCACTACTCCAACTGCAACCAGTACTAAAATGTCAAATAGTTAGTAGTTAGTACACAATATTGGAATAGTTAATAGTTAAACTAATCAATAAATTTGTCAGTAGTAATATGTAGTTACAGTAATTAGTTAAGTAATTATTAGTTACTTTTACTAATTAGTATTTAGTAATATGTATGGATAAAACTCTCTCTCTCTCTCTCTCTCGCACACACAGAGAGACACATACATATATATAGATGAGTGTGTGTGTGTGTCTATATATATATAGTAAAAATTTTGGAAATTCGGCTAGTAATCGGTAATTCGATAATGGATTTTTAATATCCGTTCTTGAATCATTTTACCAAATATTGAAATGGGATATATTTCATTTTTACAGAATTCTATTTTACCGAAATCTGGAATCCAATCTAGATTGGATTAGCTGGTTTTTTTTTGTTTTTTTTTTCAAAATCTGAACACCCCTATATATGGTGGTGCAATTCAATCGAGTTGAATTGACTAATTCACATTCTTACTCCTAAATAATTGAGTTGAAACTTGAGTTGATCAAGTTTGAATTGAACTTGAGCATTTTGAGTAGATTGACAAGTTTGAGGTTGTATATATTTGGAGTTTGAAATCTCATTGTGTTAAATCAAACCACTAAGGCACCGTTTTGATTGAAATAAAGGAAGGGAGAGGAAAGAAAATTAGAAAAAAAGTGATTTCCGTCCATCCAATTTGGATTAAATATGAAAGGAAAAGAAATAAAATTCTGAATTTTTGTTTGGGTTGAAGGAAGTAAAGAAAGGAGAGGAAAGGAAAATATCATGTGCTAATTTATTGGAAAATATAGGTAAAAATTAATCTTTAAAAATTTTAGAATTATTTAAATTAATTCTGTTTCATTTCCCTCCTTTTCTGCCCATTTTTTGGTGGAAAACATAACTCGACAAAATAAGTAAACCTATTCCCTCCTTAAAAATCAATCCAAATATCAAAAACCAAATCCCTTCAATTTCACTCCTTTTCTTTTTCTTCCATTCCCTCCAAATGGTGCCTAAGTAAACACGGCATGCCTACGTGTAAAATTATATATTTATTAGTGTGAATTGACTATTATATCTTTCATGTAAACAATAGAAGATATTCTCTAGTGTTACTCAAATTCAATTAAGCTTAAACTTGATTTCAAGTAAGATTAAATTTGAGCCTTAGTAAGATTGACAAAACATACGAGTCACGAGTCAACCTCAAGCTTATCCTAAGATATTCTTTGAATTTTAGCTCATATTCAAGCACATTTTTTCTTTTTTCTTTGAATTTGAGCTCAAATATGATAATTTTTGAATTGGATTTGGCTCGAAAATTTCTCCAACCATATGTTCATTCACAACTTTTACATTTCCCGTTTAATTCCCACATTTTTCTTATTTGAAGTCATTAAAATAAGATGTGTACCAGAGAGGATTGGATTGAGTGGTTAGCTAGGTTCAAAACCTCCCACTTATTTCAAAAAAAAAAACATTTGTGTAAATAGAGAGAGTAAAGTGTCTCTCTTTCTCTTCCTTTTGTACATTCTATCCATGTCATTGTTCACCAGTAAAGTGTAAGCAACGAGGGGGGACACCCCCATTGGATATACATCAAGAATCACCTACAGTACAATATACTAGCCATGCAACTAGGACATAAACCAAAACTTATACTATCAGACCACATGTAGGGATACACCTAGTTCCAAGCACAACTTCAGCACCTGTCTAGGTCTTGCATGTGGTCTGCATCTTAACTCTATTCTTTGCAGGTCACGTATTATCTAAGAGCTAGAGCCACTGGCCATTTGGTCCAGTGGTCATCACCATATTTGGTGATGCTGGAGGTCAGGGGTTCAACCCCTGCCTCCCACAAATTTGCCACAATATGTGGCTGGTCTTAGTTGACCATCTGCCTTTACCCCTTCCTCTAGATTAGGCTAGATTAGATTATAGGACATCTATCGTTGCAGGAAAAAAAAAAGTATTATCTAAGAGCTCGCACTAGAAAGAGAGACAACAATATTCCTATATAGCTGCTGACTTCTGCATCTCCAAACGAAGTTTCTCATTGGTCATTACAACCATATCTAATTTGGGGTATGCTTGATATTACATGTACATCAATTATATGCTTGATATTACATGTAAATCAAATAGAAGATTATTTATACTCGGAAGAGGGTTGGATTGGGTAGGAAGGTGGAATGAATTGTAAGTAGAAGATCTTGAGTTTAAAATCTCTCAATTACAAAAAAAAAAAAAATTATTTATACTCGTAAATTTAAAATGCATGTTGCATTAACGCTTCTAACATGTATCTAAAAGACTAATTTTTATTAACAACTATTATCTAAGCCTATATATGTTTCAATTAGAAGAAAAGAAAAGATCTAAGCCTATATATGTCACTATTTTCTTTTCTTTTCTTTTTCTTTTATTGGGAACCGCACTATGTCTCCTGGGGTTTGTTTGGATTGAAGATTATTTGAATTTTTTTTAAAAAAAAATATGCAATTTGATATTTGTGAGACAAAAATGATTGAAAAAAAAATAAAATGATGATTGGAAAACGTATTTCTGATACATGCAATTTGATGTATGTGAGACAAAGATGATTGAAAAAGAAAATAAAATGATGATTGGAAAACGTATTTATGATACAAATTTTTTTTAAAAAAAAAATTAGCAATCCAAGTAAATTTTAATAGCATCTAAGTATTGTGTATTAAAAGAATAACCATGAAAACTTTGAAACCGGAATCAATCACGTATCTCTTTTTTTTAGTATTACCAACAAAAATGTATACTCCTATATAAAGAAATATCTAGCTATTAAAATTAAGCTTAGCGATATTGTGAGGACCCGTAAAATTCTTTATATTTTTCTTAAAAATGCCATTTTATTTGAAAATTATTACTTTATAATGGCCCTACTACCCAATCACCCCACCATAAGTGTAAATGAATATAGAAGTAAGGGTTTCCGTTGTCCGTTTTCAAGTTAGAGCGAATTAGGATTTTCACGTTTTTTCGTAGTGTGATTATTTGGTACGGAGTGAGGATCAAATTTGATAGGTAAGAGTGACTTTTGGATGAGGAAATATTATATGATTAGAAGTGATAATAATAAGTTAGTGATTACAAGTTAAAAACCATAGTATACGCGATTTAAGAAAAATCGGCTCAAACCGACGGGTATCGATCACTACCGATTGAACACACCACTTGACTACCACTTCCCTACCACCACATATCCTTGATATTGTTGCAAAATATCTCCCTCATCCTCAGCCCTTATAGCCGAAATATTTGACCCAAAATGCAAGGAAAAGAAAACAAAATTTTAGATGGTTTTGGTGGTGACAAGTGTTGGCCACCTATGGTTCCTTGACCAAGCCAATGTCTTACCTTCTTATCTTTCATTTGAGTTCATTCTTCACCATTTTTTTTTTCTGTTTTGGCCGAGAGCAAGGAGAGGCAAAAGAGTGAAGAGAGTTTTCAATTTTCAACCTTGAATCCAACCTTTCAATTTTCAAATACCTAGGGTTAATGTCCTATAGGTTATGTGACTTGTTTTGATGTGACTTGTTTTGATTGAATGTGGTGCATTACCCCTGTTTTATGCTTTGGAACGATTTTTTTGAGCTTTATTTTATTCTGTTTATATTTATATAGTTACTTAGTGGCTATAACCTATCATTGATTAGTTGACTATATTGCTATAGTTGATTAGTCGCGAAGCATGGAAGGTAGAAGAAGTCAGGATCGGGGAACTACTCGAGGACGTGGTCCTGGGGGTAGGCAAGCACAAGAACCGGTGCGAGAATCGAGAGATGAGGGAGGTGCAACGGTTGAGCCGCAACCTAGACCCCGGATGGAAGAAGGGGATCAGGTGGCAACTGCGATTCAACAGATGACTAATATTCTTGCTGATTGGTGGAGCAACAGGGTCAAACCCCTGTGAATCAATCTAGGGACCTCGATATGGGGCAAGATAGGGCCCTAGAGCGATTTCAAAAGTTCTCTCCTTCTAAGTTCCTAGGAGGACCAGACCTTGAGGAAGCAGAGAGATGGTTAGAAACCATGATCAATATCTTTGCCGCGTTAAACTATGCAGAGAATAGGCAAGTGCAATTTGCCGTTTTTCAGTTCGAGGGTCCGGCCAAAGCCTGGTGGAATGTAATTAGGGCTAAATGGGAAAGAGAGGGGACTGCATGGACTTGGGTGAACTTTGTGCGAGAGTTTAATGAGAAATACCTCCCCCCTATCGTCCAGGAGAAAAGAGAGGACGATTTTATTAAACTCCGGCAGAGAACTTTGAGTATAACTGAGTATGAAACCCAATTTACGAAATTGTCTAAATTTGCGCCTGAACTGATAGTTACGGAGCAAAGAAGAGTCCGGAGGTTTGTGCAAGGGCTCAATGTGGAGATACAAGAGGCCTTGACGGCGGTCCAGATTAATACGTTTACAGAGGTTTTGGAGAAGGCCCAAAGAATAGAAATTGCTAGAGC